AATTACTTCATGATGTTGATGTGATGATGCTGAAACTTTACCTCATGTCAAATTGCCTAAAATAAATTTGTGTTGTGGAAACATCATTTCCTTCATGATATCACATAAGGTGTGACTTCTTCAAAACCTTGGTGTAGTTTACAATGACACTAGAGGAAAAGCCTAACTACAGAATAATAACTAATATCAAAGTGTGACCATAGAGAAATCTGGTGAAGACAGTTGAAGCTCTGTGTTTGGAAGCACAGGGGTAACCCAACAGCAGCGTTGCTGCTTTCTTACGGTGTATAACAGAAGGTGACTCACCTTAAGCCAGTCCCCGTAGTACACCTGTTCTCCGACATAGGATGCATAAGTGCTGATGGCCAGTTGTATGGCAGCACCCATTGCAAACCACCTCCTCTTCACCCCAAATGACATGAAGCTGGCACAGAGCACTGCGGCCCCCATATCCACATACAGGTACGGTACATGGATGTCTGGCTTCCTGGAGATGACAATGAAGAGGGTATCAATTCAAACATGGTGGTCTGATTTGATTTATACAGCTACTGCTTTATGTTTACTCATTTATTTATTACATATTGTTTATACCATACTTTGTTTTAAGTGAGTATATATATATATGATTGCATATCGTTGCAAGACCACAAGCTGTACATTGCACTGGAGTAGACTGTTTCTGCTGCAATGACAACAAAATTCAGCTGTTATTGCAATTAACCCAAAACAATCATCTTAAGTATTCTAAAAATGACCAGTAGTCAAAACCTCTTGAGGAGAATACTGCATTTAATGGTTCAATTATTCCTAATTTATCATACTATGAGCAATAGTCAATATTAATCATAAAATCAAAATAAGCTTGATAAGTTAAACTCAACCAACTCATATACTTCCAACACAGAGAGCCAGACAGGTATCACAAAATCTGCACACATTTCCCTTATAGCTGCTGTGGTGACAGGATAATTCAGAGGGGTGTGGTAGTCTAAATAAGACCAACCCACCACAGACTTAAACAATACACACCCAGCGTACATAAGAGATGAAAACCACCATTCGACAAGGAAAATTACAGACCGTCCGCTGTCCGACAGAAAATTACAAACCAGGCAAAATGTAACTTGCAGCTTTAATTTAAACAACTCCATATGGCTGCAGCCTTATGACCTGAGGTTTGATCTAATTGCTGAAATATAACCCCCGTTAGCTAGCTGGCAGGTTTACACTTTCAACAGAAAATATATGAAAAGGTCGAGAAGAACGCAAAAGTTGTCCAGCTATAAACTGTTTTGACAACTATTGTGAAAATGAAGTCAATTTTGTACAAGTTTAAGAGAACAGTTAGCTCGTTAGCTGTTGTTAGCTTCATGTGAGTGCTCTACTTCCCCACTCCTTTTACCTTTTTGAGTCCGCTCGCTCAGCAAACAGCATCAACATACAGAAGCAGTTCCAAAATCCAAACCGGGTCAAAACAAACGCTCCAAACTGGCTGAGAAACTTGAAAACCTGCTTCCTGCTGGGAGCTGCCATGGCTGCTTCTCAGCTCTAACCTATCCGCCGACAAGACGCTGAATGAACATCCGGCCAAAATACCTATACGTGTCGAAATAAAAGTACACATCTCTAACTGAGCAGGGTGTTCCTGCAGAACCGGAGACTGCAGTTTCAGGACCGCATTTGTTGGACTCTAGTTTCTGCCATATAAATATATTAGGAGTAACCAGCTAATCACTTTATGACACAACCATCTACGATATTTATATTAATGAAATGATATATTATTAATAATACAGTGCGGTCTGAAACTGCAGCCTCCCTTACTGCAGGAACTTGTCTTACAATCTATTAGAGGTTATGCCATATATTAGTAACATTAAGATATTACATTATAACGGCGGATTTGTATTTGTATTAAATTACTATTAATGCTGCTTTTTTGGTCATTTCTATACTTTATATACGAACTGTTTTAGTTTATATGTATTTACTGAACTGATTTTAGTAGGAGTAGAGCTGAGGGAAACGCACACATTTATTCACATTCCTTGTTATTGTTATTGTTTATTATTGTATTAAAGGACATATATATATATATATATAAGTATATAAGTATATACAGTATATAATCTTGAATCTGTCCCAGTAGTTGTCCTTTTGTCTTGCCTCTCTCCAACCTCTCAAATTCAAAGGTCATAGCATATGCTTCCATCTTTATTTGTAGTATTTTGGTGGAAAACAACATTAAAACTACAACTGGATAAAAAGTAGTATTTGGGTGGAATACACATATAAAAATACAAATACTTGGATAAAAAGTAGTATTTGGATGGAATACAGGTATAAATACACAAATACTTGAATAAAGAGTAGTATTTTGGTGAAATAAACTTTTATGGCAGTTAAATACAATCCTGAAACTGCAGCCTCCGGTATTTCTAATCGCTAGGTGGCGGTGGCGCGAGAAACTAGGTTCCTAGGAATCAGTCCTGAAACTGCAGTTTCCGGTACTGTATGAACATACAATTGCTCTAGATGCTGAAGAGGAGTAATCTTTGAATCAAACTACTCTGAGGCTCTTATTTTGAAAAGACGTTCGGTCGCAGGACAAAGGCGTCCTCCTATTGGTTGACAGAACGAAGGGGGCTGGACAAGAGATTAAAAAGGTTCGACTCCGCCATCTACAGGACAAAGCAGATCATCACAGAAACGTTAGAGGTCACTGGAGGAAAATGTGTCTGTAGCTGCTACTTGACCTTATTCCTGTAGGTTCAGCGTTTTAACTTTAGTCAAGCAGTTGTTTATTTCATCTAAAATTAATTAATTTGTGCTGCAAATAATGATTATTAGGTGGAATTGCTGTTTAGATTTAAACAGTGCCTTTTCATTCACTGGATGATTAAAGGAGTTTATCTAAGCCCATGCACAACATTTGCAGCCGTTTCCAATAAATCTTTGAGTAGTTGAGTGTGATTCAACTGAATAATGAAAAATGGTATGTCAATAAACAATGTTGTTATTATGACACATCATTTTGTGTCAAAAACACTCAACAACCTGGTAATCAACCAGACATGATGCTTAGGATTGGTTGTCCTTCTGGAAGTTTCTCCCATCCCCACACTCTCTGGAGCTCAGCCAGAATGATCAGGTTCTTGGTCACTTCTCTTTCTTGGCTGGGCAGCTGCATGTTCTATAGTTGTTATAACTAATTGTTATTGTTATTACTCATTTATTTATGTATTTATTTATTGTATATAACCTATAGGAAAATAGAGAAAATGCCCATAACCAGTAAATCCTAAGAAATCATTGATTAGGCATGAACATTTTTCTACATTAATTTAATTATAAAAAATATACTTACTGCAAGTTTGTAACTCTATACATGATAACCTATACTTTTTCAAAGCCTTCAGCACAATATCATAACTATTCTGGTAAAGAAATACAAATCTTGTTTTAATTTAAAAAATGAAGAATATGTATATGTATAATTTATGTGTAATTGTAGAATGTTAACTCAACAGATTGTTAAACCTCTAAAGTTTAACAATCTGTTAAATTCTTTAATTCAATTTTAAAATTATTGTTGATGAATTTTCTGTCCATACACTAATCAATAAATCCTTTCAGCCCTTCTGTGAGTTGAAATGCCTTAAGAAACATTAAAAAAAAAGTCTCAGACTCACCAGTGTCATTGAGACAATTTCTTGTAAATGGCTGCAATTTAATGCAACAGTTATTAGTCTGGCAATGAAAGTGTTTTTCATCAGGAGCTCGGTGATGATCAGGAGCGTCTCCACACTGCTGTTAATCCACCGTGACGTGTATGAGGTTAATCTTGAGTGGATGAGACTAACCCAGATCCTGAAAATGGCTTACTGTGAGGCCTGCTGAAGGTTTAGTTAAGGATCAGTAGCTTGTCATGTCTCAGATGAAATGTCAGGTGGGGATGACAGGCACAGAATAGCGGTTTTCATAAAACTTATTAAAACTTCAGATCGGATGGAGAAAGTTCTTTGTTCCAGACTTGAGTCCAACCCCCAGCTACATCATCATCATCATCATCATCATCATCATCATCATCATCATCATCATCACCACTTTCAATGAAAGTGTGGGTTTTTGGTTCATATTCGACGAGCCACTGTGATGAAGTCAGTCTGTTTTCAGAGACAGAAAATGCCTCAGATTAGACTGAAAGAAACACCCTCAGTATCAAGTGAAAAATATCTGCAGTGCTGAACAGAAAACAGAATGTGCTGTGATACTACTAAACAAGCATATACTGTATGTATCTATGCAGTTTTTTAAAACCTTAACAAAAAAATGAAAGCTGTAAATGTCAAGAGCCGAAAACACAACCAGACTTTGCACAAAAACAAATTCATTCACAAAAACATGAGCATCAGTCGTGTTGTGTAGAATGACGTTAGATGACTAAGAGTAACTGATTGGATAGACTGAAAGATTAAAGTATATAATCAAATCAGTGATGAAGACTTGGCCTCCTTCCTTTTGATGCAAAGCCCAATGCTCGAGATGTACAGTAAAAAACACACAATGAACCCACCTCTAATATTGTCTTATAAGATAATATTCGTTTTCTCTGCCTATGTATACTAAAGCTACATATTTGCAAAGTTAAAATACTATTACAACTGCTGGAATAACTTGCTTTGATTGACTACTGATGCAACATTGATGAAAACTGAGAAGCAATGCATAGATACAACCGATCCCACTATCTCGTAATTTGGCATGTGTACCACAGTCAGTAACAGATGATGTGGCGTTAACGCATCCATCATTTCTATTTCAGTGTCTCACTTTCTCCTCCATGCTGTCTGCAGATCTATAAGGATCTGTGCGTTCGTCCCTTCCTCCTTCCTGTTCAGGGGTTACGGCACCTGATTGTTTAATCTCATCACGGGGGATTGGTGACATCAGGCCCAATCCTGTGCCGACCTCTCCCAAAAGCCAGCAGCCAGGGATCAGCTGGGATGAAGAGCAGTGGGACAGCACGGATCAGTCAGTGTGGAGAAGCGACAGGACTAGAGGAAGGCAAACAGTCGATGAGCTCTTAGGAGCCAACACCTTTTCTCAGATTGTTGGCGATCTTGACATTCAACAGGTAACGACTCATCATTGAGACATTTATCTCTGTTGGATTTATATCTATTTTGACACTGAAATATTTTAATACAAACAGTGGATGAGATTGACCTAAAAGAAACAGGTTATAGCATTTTCACAAGAGTACATTTTGTACATTTTTAGGCATTTGTTGGGATATTTAACACTTTTCAAAACAAGGATCTTGGTTTCTTCTTGCAGCCAAGATGGCTCGGGATATGTCAGATAAGGAAATCCTGAAAATGGAGCTGGAACAATTGAAGAAGGAAGTTAGTACAGCCAGAACACCAGTAAGTGAATAATCTCTCTCTCTCTCTCCTAACCAATTTCATATTTTCTTGCCATCAATTGTGAAAAACCTGATCTTTAATTTAAGGTACCAAAAACCTCTTGTAAACAATATGGGGAAGATAAATGCTCAGTGAATTTTTAGCATGCATGTTTAAATGTGTCCCTGTGTGTGTGTATGTGTATGTGTGTGTGTGTGTGTGCTTGTTAGAAAGTGCTCACATTTGATTTCATCTCTCCTCTGAACAACAGGTGAGTGCAAACTGCACAGACACAATCACTTTCGTTGAAGGACTGCTACCAAATGACCCGCTGATTAAGGGAGTTCCAGATGACAAGAACCCCTACAAGGGAGACAAGGGAGGCTGCATAATAACATAGCACACGTACATCCAGGGGAAAGTCATGCGTTTTTTTTTTTTTATGGGAGCTGGTGACATTGCTGTAATATCCCTGTAGAAATTCTAATAGATAAAATGTACAGTAGAAAGAAAACTCAGATCTGTAATGTTACTGCGACCAGGACAGAGACCCTTTTCCATCACTGGATTACTGTATGTATCTGTTGATATAAAAATGTTTGTCAATTTGTAATTAAATGCAAATAGCTGTATAAAGCTTTACCTTGACCTGGCTGCTCTGATTATTGATATAGATTAGTAAATCTCTCTTTTACTGCTCTCCTATTGCACTTTCACCTCATTTTATTGTATTAGTTAATATCAAATAGGGGTGAACTATATATTTTTTTATGTCCAACATCTGACAGTAAATCAGCATAAGTCAACTTTACACTCACCTGTGTTACTAGACAAAGCAGGGCAAAGTCACAGGAGTCGTGCAGCTACTGCTTAGTCTAATCTTAATAGGATTTCTTTGCTGCGCCACAGTCGGTCACTGTTGACACAGAGCTGCTTCCTGTATCAAAGACTTTAATCTTATTCCTGCCGCTTCAATCCCGGCTTCCACTTCCAGCTCTCCATCCAATTAGTGTCATTTTTCAATCCGGGAAACAACAAATACACATCATTTGTTCAACACTGGCAACACAACTATTGGTATGAATATAAAAATATACAAAGAGAAACAAATGGTAACTCATGCTGCATTAAACCTTTCAGTCCAATTACCTTAGGCAGCACATACTGTATCAGCACCTTTGTGCAACTTAACCTCTTCCCAAGTATATAGTGAGCCACTTATCATTTAAAGGGCTATGGTGATATCAGTGTTTTGCTTCAAACTTAAAGTTTAAGCCTGACTTAACACAGAAGCCAAAACAACCTCTAAACTTTGAGCTCCCTGCTTCAGTTAAAGGGCAAAGGACGTTGCAGCACTGGAGATGGTGAGTGCAGATTACACATCAGAGTGAAGTAATCTGCTTTTCATACTTCTGAGATTCTACAGACACGCAAAATAACATACCTCTTGAACAATTATTGATATAAGTATAAATGAAGATAATAAAAATAGTCATGTATAACTGGTAAACTGTAATTATTGCCCCATTTATGGATTAAATGAATCTAAATGGCTTTAATATACAAGATCACTGCGGTGGAGAAGACCATTGGATTTTATTATCACATATAATCTAAATGTGTCTAAATGTCAGACCTCTCTCACAGTGGATATTATGACCTGTTAAACACGGCTGTAACTAATAACATTACTAATGTCCTACTGTATTTCATTCAGGAGGAACAGGATGGGAACACCTAAACGGAACAGAGCCATATTAGTTACAGTTACAGTATGTCACATCTTCAACGAGTCCAGTTTGAACTATTTTAAGTTTCATTTTGGATGAATTTCATGTTCACTGTGTCCAGCATAACGGCTTTTTGCTTTGTTGTGGTTCACGTTATCTGTAGCTGCAGATTAAATCTATAGCTCAAAGTCAACTGAAGTAATGTATAACTGGAGTTCAAAGTCCATGCATGGATTATATGAAATTATAGCACATTAAAAAAAACTGTTATCACATAGATCACAAGATATTTACGTTTAAAAAAAAAAAAATCCTTTTTCAGAAGAAATATATTGTGGATGTAGTTGACCGGTGCCTCCAGAGTGATTTTAATGATTTTCACATGTTTGGATTTCTTGCATTTTTTTTAAACAGTCCCCAAGGACAACAACTGAGTGTTTGTTATCGGACCTGAAATGCTGAAACTCAGTGATTTGGCTCAGCTGTTGTAAAGACATAAAACTGGACACTGCGTGTATAGTCAAGGATGACTTGTACATGGTGTATTCTTTATCTTAATTGCCTTATCAGATAAGAACAATTGAGGATATATCTAATCTAACTAGGTTTCCTATAAATATATTCATATATATTCATACTACATGCAGGATGAAAACAAAATGTTTTGTAACCTTTTAGATTACAACATTAGTGTGAATTCTAGTCATCTGCACAGTTTATTTACTTATTTACTAAAACCATTGACTTTGAAATACTATACAGACCCTTACACAGTTTATGTTTATAGAGCACAGCATCTATTAGAATTTCTTTAAAAACAAGTGAAACATTGAAAATTCATCACATCATTTGGTGACATCAAATCCACCAGCTAAAACATTACTGCAAATGTGAATATCCAAATATACCAAGACGTTTTTAGACGTATTATGTATATGTAACTGCACAGCAGCTGGCACACCATTATTGTGATCTGTGCACTGTCATCACTGGAGAAAATGGGTCTTTCAGCACTTTATCTTTATTACTCGTCATAACATGAATAGTTTTATGTATAAAACTCCTGCCCCTCTCCTGCAGACCTTTGGCACTCAACGTAATAAAAGCGGCCTTTTGAGGAGAACGATGTTCAGACACACTGCTGCCTGCTGCTGCGAACACTCTGCTCCAGAAAAGACACCAGTCACAGTGATTTGATCATCTCCACAATGTGGCTCTTGATTTTCTTAGTCTGGTTGGTTATATGGGCCGGTGGTACATACTGGTACCTGTTTGGGAAACCGAGCCCTTTCTCCCTGGAGTCAGTGAGACCTCCAGGACCTCGCGAGTTTGATCAGAAGAAGCGGGACAAAGTCATCAAGCAAGGTAAAATTATAGCAGTCGAAAATGCCTGTGTGCAGCATCACGATCAATTGGCAATGTGATGCACTGCTTTCATAAAGAAGTATATTTTCTACCAGGTGATGAGCTCTGTGGATATTCAGTTTAACAAGATACAAAACAATCAATGCTTAAATTTTTGATCAATATGTTAAGGTATTACTGGAAACAAGAATAAACTGAAAACTGTTTTCTGTTATATAAACTGTTAAACAAACTGAAAACAATTATCCACTTACATGTCCATATGAGTTTTATATATCAACTCCAGCCAGCAAAGCACCAATGCTGCCAAGAAAGAGGAAAAACTAAAAACAAAAAATAAGACTAACTTCTAACTAAAAAATTGAAAAATTAAAACAGCAAAAGAAAAAACAACAACATTCCAGCTACTAACTGTGTAATAGTTGAAATTCTGTAGCAATATTAAGAGTAAGAGCTTCAGTATGAGAACCCTAACCAAACCTGATTTTTTTTGTCAAATCACCACTACACTACAATGATGTTGGGAGGTTCCTGAAATTAGAACATCTATATAGAGCAGAGCCAATATTTATATTATCATTGCACTTGTGCTTTTCATCCTATGACGTATAAGTCAAAACATGCACTGTGAAAAAAGGTCAATTGGGTCAATTCCATTTTATTTTGTGAACATTTCTGGTGAAATTTCACCAGTTTACAGGAGGTTTTGCGCCTCCTATAAACTCTGTAAATTTTAAACTGTTGGTAGGCTGGTTTTCTTTACCTTTGCACTGAGATTTCCCGTTCCCAGTCTTTATGCTAAGCTAACGCTAAACTAATCCTCATATATTTAAAACCTTTACACTGCACTCAACATGGTCTAACTAAACTCTCCACTGACACCAATTAAAATTAGTCTTATGAACTGTCATAAATAAAGCCAGAGGAAAAAAAGTAGTAGATGAACAATTAGCTCAACATATATAAAACTAGGCTCTAGAATATATTCTTCAAATTATAATGTAAATAAAACCAACTCACTCTAGGTTTTACAACCTCTGAGCTGTGCTGATACAGTTTTATCTAAATTACCTGTTTGATGTGTCATAAGTCAGAGTTTAAATTAGCACAAGTACAGTAATTGTTTTTCATGTATGTGTTTTTATCTTAATTAGATTATGACCTGATGACTATGTTAGCAGTTTAATCTACAGTTTATTGCCAACATGAGAACACAGACACAGGAGAGGTGTGCAGTGCAACCTTCAGACTGAATTATGTAACCCAGTCATGCAACACATTTTGATGTCTCAGTTTCAGCAGTTGGTCGTGATAACATTTACAATGTTTTTGCATTAAAACTATATGAACTAGAGAGATAAATCTGACCATGTTAACATCAGTTCTGTATGTTTCCGTCCAGGTTTCACACTTGACAAGGTGCCTCAGAATCTGGATGTCATCGTCATTGGTAGTGGTATCGGTGGCCTGACAGCTGGAGCCACACTGGCCAAAGCCGGGAAGAAGGTCCTGGTGCTGGAACAACACGACCAGGCGGGAGGCTGCTGCCACACCTACATAGAGAAAGGCTTTGAGTTTGATGTTGGTAAGAAGACTTGTGATGTAGTTACTTTCTTAAAGGGGCAGTATGATTTTTTTTCAACCTTGAATGGGAATAATGTCTATAATTTGTTGCAAATAAATGTTTGGTTAAATATGGATTCAATTTGTTAAACTGAATGAATCTGACACAACAATAACAGGTCGTCACTTCAATTGAGGAAAACAATCTTGTTTAATCAAATAGATATTTGCTGTATTAGGGGCCTGTATGAGCTGTTATCAGGGGGCCTACCATATCTAGCAGCACAACATAGCAGTTATATGTGTTCAAGGTGTAAACTGATAAGGCACAGTAGTAAGTAAAGTTTCTGAACCACCAACTGTGCACAAGGGTGTGGCAACATCGTATGAATGAACATTTTCTGAATGCATAGAACGGCTTTCACAGGTGTTCTAGTTAGCACAGGACATTCAATGCAATATGGCAGCACCTTAATCTAGAGAAACATGGATGTAGCGTGTCATTTATACACTTTCAGAGGGGGTGTTTTGAAGCTTCAGGTTGGGATTACCAGCTGGAGAAAAAAAGAGAGAATACCAGGCTGAGACTAGGGCTGCAAATAATGATTACTTTCGATTATCCAACAATCTGTCAACCATTTAATAAAATGTCAAAAAATTCACAATTTCCAAAGGCTCAAGGTGACATCTGCAGACTCACACTTCCTTATTTTTCAAAGGTTAAGACAAGACCTTGTGGAAGAAAAGGAGTAGTTATTTATTTTCAGGAGAACATTTTAGAGCATATTTAGAGCCAGCAACACCCAGCCATGAAGGAACTGAAGATTAAGGCACTTTAGCTTTGCCTCTCAGTTGAGGTGGTTGATGCTTGGGCAGCCCTGATTGAGAGGCTGCATTTACAAGAGACTGTAAACACAACAATATAGATGCTGTAAAGACTATTCCTATCCCTGGTGTGACGATACCATTGCCACCTTTAGAAACTACAGGAAATAACTTTGCACTTTGTTCCCATCCCGCTCTTTCTTCTTCAGGGCTTCACTACATTGGTCAGGTCCACGAGAACAGTCTGTTGCGAATCGCCTTCGACCAGATCTCCGAGGGCCAGCTGGAGTTCCAGGAGCTGAATCAGCATTTCGATACCATCCAGATTGGCCTGGGTGACGAGAAACGAGAGTACACCATGTTCTCTGGTAAAACTGAGATGAAGGCCCATCTGCTGAAGCAATTCCCCGACGACACTGACGCCATCGAGACATTCTTCAAAATCATGAAGGTACCGAGGGCAAGTGGACACATATTTCAGTCTGTCACCTGTCCCAAAAATGCAAACTCTACATCTAAAGCCCTTTCAAACTTCCTCCAAATTCCAACAGGTCTCAGCTAGGAAGACACACTATCTGGCAACTTTAAAGCTGATCCCTCAGTGGGTGTCTTTATTCCTGCTAAAGTCGGGCATCGCAAACCTCTGCTCCCCAGTCTTCCGCCTGACCGGCACGTGTGCAACAGATTTCGTGAACACCCTGACCAGCAACAAGGATCTCCATGTCATCTTCTCTTACCTTTTCTATGGTGGGTCGGCAAAAATGTAACTACAGCGGCTTTTGGTATTCTACTCAAATCTTCAGACAGTGGATTGAGGTCAGATGTTATGTACAGGTTGGACGGGTCCCCCACTATGGGTGGGAACACCTTAAAATGAACACACTGAGTCAGCACTCTGATCTCTTAGTCACTAGGAACATATCACTGTCCAAGCACTTTGTGTGTTCACTGTGGCTAAATTATAAATGTTGAGGAGACACAGAATTCATGCTGGATCTAAACTCTTAATGGATCTTAGTTATTACCCAGTAACATTATCCTGAACTAAATAAATAGCAAAGTCCTTACTCTGTACTTCTTCTTCAGGTGTACCACCAAGGGACTCCAGCATTCTGATCAATGCCCTCCTGATTCATCACTACAAACGAGGCGCCTACTACCCTAAAGGTGGCGCCAGTGAAATCGCCTTCCACATCATCCGCACAATTCAGAAATATGGAGGAAACTGTCTGGTCAGAGCTCCCGTCACCCAGATCCTGGTTAATGAGGAGGGAACAGCTTATGGTGAGAACTGAATCCAGCATCTCGTTTTTTCACCTGTTAAAGGTAAGATGCTCTCCAGGGAACTGACTGGAAAGCTTCCCTTTTTTTGTGTGGCCTGTGACAGGTGTGAAAGTAAGGAGAGGTCAGGAGGAAGTGGAGCTTCATGCACCTGTGGTCGTCTCAAACTGTGGCATCTTCACCACCTTCCAGAAACTTCTTCCACCTGAGATTCAAGTCAAACATGGTGAGCACCACAACTATAATGTTTTACCCGAATGGACAGATTCTCAAAAATATCATAAATTCTCTTGTAAAATCAGTCAAGATGGTGCAATGTGATTCTACACTCTCCCATATTATAGATATCCAGGAGAGACTGAACATGATGAAACATGCCAGAGGATCGTTCTTGGTCTTCTCTGGCTTAGATGGAACTGAGGAGGAGTTGGGCCTCGTGTCCACTAACTTCTGGCTGTTCAAGAACAACGATATGGACAAGTCGTAAGTATGCAGGGCAGTGATGACACTGAATAGGGATGTAGCATTTAGAAACCACAAGGGAGCGCTACTGTATAAGCAATGATGATACAATGAACTCACAGAGGCAAAAACTGACTCCTCAGTAAAGGCCTGCCACCACGAACATGAACACATTTATCATTTTTCTAGTGGCTCAACTTTTATTTACTCCAGAAGAAAAAAAACAAATTTTACATAAAAAGACATACTGTATATTATGTGGCTTATTCAACTATGAAGATAGGAATTCCCTATTCATCCTCTAGATGGAGTAAAGGATCAGTCTGGTTAGAGCTGCCGAATGTAAATACCATGCTGATGGATTCTTTAATGTTGCTGATAAAGCTTTGATTTAAGGATGATGATCTAAATTTGACATTTTTTTTTTAGGATGGATGACTTCTTTGCATTGAGCAAAGAGGAAGCACCAGATAACATTCCCATGATGTTCATCACAATCCCGTCTTCCAAAGATCCAGAGGCCAAAATAAGACACCCAGGTACAAACAAAATCCAATACTTTTTCCACAATAATAACACATTATGATAAAAACAATGGATATGCTACCAGAATATTATCTTATCTTTGTTTATTTTGATATGATCTGATATGAAATACCAGAAAACAACACATCTGAGAGTCTACATAGATTAAGTGTGATTAAGTGTGTCTCATGTTCCCAGGAAAATGTTGCATGACGATACTGACCATGGTGAAGTATGAATGGTTTGAGGAATGGAAGGACACCACTGTGCGCAAAAGGGGTGATGAATACTACAACTACAAAATGAGATTTGCAAAGAACCTCTTTGACTGGGCCTGCACTTTGTTCCCGAAAATCAGAGACAAGGTAGATGTGATCAGATTTTTTAAGTATGTTTCTATTGTCTGTGCATGCACATTAATATGATCTTTAATTTTTATAAAACAACAACAAAAAGATCAATTTGTGGTTGTGTTGACTTGCTTTCCAGCTGGTTTTCCAGGACGTGGCAACCCCGCTGACCAACACACACTACCTGGGTGCCCAGCGTGGAGCCATGTACTCCGCTGAGCACAACCTGGACCGTTTCCATGCTGAGGCTGTGGCGAGGAACAGGTGCAACACCCCCGTCAAAAACCTCTACATCTCAGGTATGAACATTTTCACAAAATATTGTCAAAGGATTTTATGTTAAAATTTTCTCTAAGCACAGTCAGCCCTTTGTGGTTTGTAATTGAAGGTGTCGCAGGCATAGAAATGTCTCAGCAAGCCCTCGGATTGATTTACTAAAGATGGGAAGGTTCATAACATTATGAAATGCGATATGTTTCATACTAAACTAGCCAGTTTTTGCTGGATTAATTAAGTAGCAGAGTTAAAACACTTCAGACATAACTGTAGGAAGGCCGCTAAGCAGAGTAAATTGTATCATTTTTAAAGCTTGTGAAGAAAATCACAGTCTAGATGGAAACACAGACAAGAATCTGCGTCCAGACTCCAGCTAGTCTCGTCTCATCCAGCAACTTGTATGTATCTCTCTGTTCCAGGACAAGACGTGTTCAGCTGTGGGATAGCAGGGGCTCTACACGGCGGACTCCTCTGCGCGTCTGCGGTGTTAGATCACATTGTCTACATCGACTTGCTCCTCCTCAAGAAGAAGCTGAAGAGGAGGAAAGCCAAAGAGCTGGCCCAGCTGGCTCAGAAGAAACTGCAGTGAGCACGCTCTGTACTTCCCCTGCAGGACATTAGTGGAACTGCAAAAACCCGGTGGAAAAGGACCCTTGATTATTGTGGGGAGACTTAGAGGAACACACCACCACTGTGTCTACACATATTTATGCTCATAGTTCCTTTTACTGACAGTTCGATGGAACAGATGCAATGTCCCTTTTGTCTTGAAAGGATATAATTTAACTACATGAACACTGTTTCAAAGCTGCAACAGCCGCCATGCCATCCTCATGGTGGATTGCATTGTCTAGTCTTAAGCAACTAGCATAATAAAGTACAGAGGGCTGGTTCACTCATTAAAAGGTGAACCACTCATTGAGGTTGCCCTTGAGAAGGTACCTATATACAGAAGTTAGAAGTAAATGAATTGTACCATTTTCTATACTTAATTGCTCACTGTAACTCTGATATGTTTAGCTTACTGTTTACTTGGGTATAATGTATAATATATAATAACAATTTCAGTTTTATTATTATGATCATGTGCACATAAACATAAATCATTAGGAAAAAGCTTTTTCTTTACTTTTATTACCTTATCTACTGATCTATGTAAAATACTATTGCTCAATTTTTTGTATTTGTATTTAGGTCTATTATGATCTTCAACTCAGCTGTATTGGGGGAACAATTTCGCAGTATTATGCTATGTAAGCTTAATCTAAAACTATGAAATATCAACAAATGCTTTATCATTAGCATAGTTATATAAAGAACTAAATGCTTTGATTTTTAAGTTTTTGTATGTACAGATGTTTTTTTCTTAATGTTGAGCATATCTTTTTACTTACTGTTTGTAACCACTGCAGCACCGTGGTGCCCCCCCGAATAAACTTAATAAACCATATTAAACTTTCACATGCATTAAAATGCTTAATTCGGTTTAATGGTGTTAAAACTGACATAGAACTTCAGTATATAACAATGTAAAAAATTACACAAACATGATAAACTGTGTGTAATGATTTTCATGAATTGTCTCTCTTTTAACAATACTATTGACAGCCAACAGGAAATCATTATTATTAAAAAACATCATCAGTAGAAGCCTAAACTTATAGATATGATCATGATTATGTATAAACTATTAGTAATCTACCAAGAGTGATCATGTTATAGTATCAGATGTAATGGGTGATTATTTATGTATCACTTACTGGTGAAGTGACACTGTAAAGCCCCCTCCTGGAATTAGTTCCCACCTATGTTGTTCTGACCTGACTTATAACCCCAGCGTTGTTTGGGTAACTTCTGAAATCAAACGTATGGGGGGAAACCTCAGACTTCCTGCACTAAGTGAACATTTCCTCAGCAAACGGTGGGCAGATTGGCTGACAAACTGTGGTCTGTTGGAGACGACCGGGGGGATCCGAAGAGAAGAATGCCCCTTCTGTCCAGGCAGCCGGTGGGATGCCAGTACCTCTCTCACTCTGTTAACCTCCATCCCTCTGCTGCACAAACCCAGGGAAAGCTCTGCCAGTCACTGCCGCTTGGTGAACATGTTCGCTACTCTCACCATTTTTTCTTTCAATACTTGAGAATAAAAAAGGCCAAATTTTAAGGAAGCAAGTTTAAGGAATGAGGAGAGAACTGGGAGGGAGAGAAGTTAATTATACTGACTTTGCCTTGCTGGAAGTTCAGCAGGCCATAACATATAATTACCATGGCATGATAAAGTGCACAACTTCACCAGAAATAAACGTGACATCTTTAGTAACTCTTACTTTCCTGCGTTGTGCTCTGACTGACTCACAAAGTTATAAACAGATCCACGTAAACTCAGTTTAACCACCATTTGAGTAAAGAATAAAATCAACCCATCGTTTTTAGCCATGCTTATGGCGTGGCTGTAGGGATGGTCATGTTGGTTAATAACTCCACCACTCTAGTCCAAGCTGAAATATCTCAATAACTATTGGATGCATTGCTATGAGATTTTGTGCAGATATTCATGGTCCCGGGAGTATGATTCCTAATGGTTATCTTTGGTTATCCCCTGACTTATCCTCTAGCAAAACCATGAGGTTAACAGTTTTGTTTCTTAGAAAAATGTTGAAACAAAACTATTGGATGGATTTCCATGAAATTTGCTTCAGCCATTCATGCCCCCCCCCCATGATGAACTGTAACTTTGATGATCTTCTGACTTTTCATTTGTTCTCATCTCATCATCCTCTACTTAACTTTGCGTTTAGCTTTAATTAGCAAATGTTAGCATGCTAAGATGCTAAATTATGAGGATGATGGTTAACATCTTGGTAAACAATACATCTGCATAAACAGCAGCATGTTAGCACGCATACTTTATAAAGTGTTATAAATATGAGTGATGACGTTATTAATGGTTAATGACTCACTAAACAAAACTTTATAGATCAGTAAAAAGATATTTGTAAGAACAACATTCTGGTTGGAGGTTCAGGTTGTAGAAGATACATCTGTCTACCTCCATTACTGCTTTCATCATAAGTGGTGAGGTTAATAACCTCCTGACTATTATGATTGACTTACTCACTGTTTAATTAAATATTCATATATATATGTATCTATAAAAAAGACAAAGTCCTTATACCAGATGTGGGTGTTCACCAGGCAAATGGATTTTTTTCTCACAACCTGGCAACCTAAATTGTTCTCATTGACAGCTTGTTACTTATCTATAAACTATTACTTTTATTCTCATCCATTATTATCTCGACCACCACCATCTCACCAGACTACAGCTAGTGTGTGTGGGTACTTGCTCTTTTAGGTTTTATGGTTTTGTTTTCATTGATGATGATACTGGTATTTATTGTGTTTGTTTCTTGGCAAGATTATGTCGTCTAGCCTCCTTTGGCAACTTTTTGTTGTGTTTTATTTGTTGTCTTCCTTCTTGCAATGTCATGTTACCACTTATAAACCCTTTTTACACTGTGTCTTATTGAAAAGTGGTAGCTGTTTATTTTAACAGAAATAGTGATTCATCTCGCTAATTTGTGATAGTGGTTTCAATTCCTTAATGATCACGGAATAGAGGGAACAGTTGCATTACTAGCCGTAGAAAATCATCATCACGTGTGTTTGCCATTTGTAGACTGATTGTAAAACATTTCATCTCATCAATGACAAAAAGTTGTTCTATGAAACTGCAGTAAATACAGAGAGCAGAAACTGAAAAGAAAATCTCATTTCACTCAGAAAGACATCAACGTTTTTGATAGAAAAGCAAGTCCAAAGAGGCAGATTTGAGGAGGAATCTAAGTTTTTCTTGACCTGCTCAAGCACCACCTCAACCCCCTTTCTCCTTTTTCCTCTAACAGGCGGCTCCCACATGTTTAGACATGCTCTTACATCAGGAGAGGCCCACAGGGTCGGATCTCAACAACAGCAGTCCACTCTTTTGACTGTGTCGAACCACTCTGCCTTACACTCGCTACCAAACAGATGCACACTTTTAAGTGAACTTATTACTGCAGAGGCTGTGGTTCAATGCTAACCCAACAACACTGGCACCTGAGACCTTTTATTTACACAAAGCAAACAGTAAAGTGGCTAACACCGCGGCGGCAGCATTGGCTCAGAGAGTACTCATGTTGCTGGGCTCTCGCTTCTGCCTTTCAGCCAGCTTTCCTTCTTTTCCAGATGTTGGAGCTCCTCCCCGCTGGCCTGCTGCAGCCTCCCACAGCTTGAACCCAGCCAACAGCCACAGCTGCTACCAATCTGAAGACTCTCATAAGAAAGTTTCAGACGACCCAGATGAGAGGAAGGCCCAGTCTGAAGATAGCACCCAGGATCAGACTGGGCTTACGGGGATGAGCAGAAAACACCACAAGCTGTTTGTAAGGGTCACCCTTCCCTAACTACCATCATTTGGTGATGTTTGATGCCCTCGATAGGTGAAAACTTTCAAACTGACTTTAAATTTCCCCTTGAGGCAGATGTAAAGATTAATGTTTGCATAGGAAAGAGAAAAAAAGGATCTGTTCCTTTTCACTAAACAGACCTGTAGCTGTTTTCAGGCTCTGCACAGATAACAGACCTATTCTCCAATGTCTGCTGAGAGCTGCTGCTGCTTCGGGCCAACTTTCTGGTGAGCTAAATGGAAAATCCAAGGAAAATGGCAGCTTCCCCAGTTCTCTCCTCTCCCTTCTACGATCTGAAACACAACTGCTTTGCTCAAGTCCACATGTCTGCATACTTAAAAGCTCAGACCAGCGGTCGTACTTTATGTGTAGGTTAGTTCTGCATTCTCTGCTCACCTCATTGTTACATGACACAGTTTCAGTTTGAGCTGAAACAATTAGCTCATTAATTGATTGAGAGAAAAACAATAGCCAAATACTTAATAATCAGCTGTTACAGCAGTTTCTCAAGCAAAAATGACATACTCTGGTGAAATCAGCTGCCTGCTGTGGCTAAAAACTGTGCTACGGGAGCACTAAAATTGGGGGCCGGACTAAACGATGATTTGAAACTCACCATAAAGCTTAAGCTCTTAAAGCTGAGCAGAGCTGCGGATTCAGGATTTAATTCACTATGAACCATCCCTTCACTGTTTTCACTTCATTTTATAAAGTGTTTATAAGTTATAAGTCATTTCATACGTTATTATTATAAACATATAGATTACAGCTGCTTTAACTATAGAATATAATGGACAGGCTAAATGATAAAGAAAATAATCGCTGGTTGCAGCTGTAGTTTCTGTGCTCCCAGGTGAAATCAACAACATGCTAGTGAGCTCCTCATCTTCACCACACCCTTGTGATCAGAGAAAGCTGAACACAATATGCTTGCACACTTATTTTGAAGCACTTCTTTGATAGTTGATAGGCAGGTAGTAAATGCAATCTGCACTTCTCATATGAGCACAAGTTTCACTTAGTTTTAACATATCTACATCTACAACAACGCCTTTCTGTGGATTTACATTCGTCACGCTGCCAACTTGAAGAACTATCCTACAGCACTCGCAACATTATCATCGCTTCTTCTCAGCCTATC